CTTAGGTTTTTTCGAGGTATAATATTACTACTGCTTTTCTTCGATTATAAATATAATGTCAATACGCAGCCGAAAAATTATTTCTTTTCATTACTGCTCATGTTTAAACCGTGGCGGAAAATAGAAGATCTTAAAGACGGATGTGATACATATACAAAAGCATTTCACAAGGAAAAGTTATATCTTACGGAAGCATTGCAATATCATGAAAAATTAGAGGAAGTGCAAAAAGCATTTGAAACTGCGAAGCAATTAGTTGAACAATATTTAGATAATTTGGAAAAACAGCATGAGTCTCAAGATGATCCCGATAATCCAATAGGTGTTCAAAATATTGAGGCTGGTGAAGCGATGCAAGATTTTAAGGATCTTGGTGACAAATTAAATCAGGAAATCAATGTATCTGAAATGATTTCTAATCTGAACGCAGATCAAAGAAGAATATTTGACAGAGTCATCAACGCCGTAAAGATATCGCCGGATGACGAACAATTTAAACAATTACTATTATACGTTAGCGGAGAAGGAGGTACTGGTAAAAGTTTCTTAATTAAAACAATTAAATGCTGGATAAAACAAAATCTCCACAAAGATACTGCTGTAACAGCACCTACTGGTATAGCGGCGTTTAATATCGATGCTTTAACAAATCACAGGCAATGGCAGTTACCTGTTGAACATGGTGATCAGTCTCCTAAGTATACACTATTATCTGATCACGTTTTGAAAGTTTTACGAGCAGATCTTAAAGATGTTAGTCTTATTATAATTGATGAAATATCAATGATATCTAATTTAACTTTCATGTATATACATTTACGACTATGTCAAATATTTGATACCATGGATGACGATTTCTTTGGTGGAAAGCATGTTCTTTTATTTGGAGATCTGCTTCAATTACCTCCTGTACGTGAAAATTTTATCTTTGTTCCACTATCAAAAGCAGAATTTAATAAATATATTGGCAGTGTGGGGACTACTCCTGAGGAATGGTTGTGGCAAAAATTTCAATATGATGAATTGACGATCAATATGCGTCAGCAAGGAGATACAGCTTATCGTGAATTACTCTCGAGAGTTCGTATTGGTATATTGACAACTTCTGATTCTGAGATTCTCGAGAAAAGAAGAATATCATTGAAAGGTCAGTCTTTCGATGAAAGATTATACGAATTGTGTAATTATCTTGATAATTTGCCGCCTAACACTGTTTGTTTACTGCCTACTCGTTATTTGTGCGATGTTCTTAACACTGCAATGCTAAGTCGTATTGCTTCGAAAGAAATATTATTAATTGCTCAAGATACGCTTGACTGTGATAATTATATTAAACGAAAGGTACAGAAGCGATTGACGGATAATGAAGGATGACGGACGATGATACCAATACAGCTGGGCTTTTGAAACAAATTACAATTAAAATTGGAGCGAAAGTTATGATAAGACGCAATATTGATGTCACTTTGGGCCTGGTAAATGGTACAATTGCTACAGTTATTTCTGTTGTGCGGGATATATCTACTGATTGTGTAGAAAAGATTAAACTTCTTTTACTGTCTGGTTTGGAGTATTGTATTGAAAGAGTAAGTGTCAAGTTTAAAGTAATGGAGAAAGCATATGTTATCAGAAAACAATTTCCCATAACTCTCAGTTATGGCATAACCATTCATAAAAGTCAAGGATTAACCTTGCAAAACGCTGTTATGGATATAGGTAATTCTATATTTAGTTGTGCTCAGTCATATGTTGCGTTATCGCGACTACCGTCTTTGGATGGATTGCATTTAATTAACTTTGATCCTTCAGCTGTAAAAGTAAGTGAAAGAGCTATTAGCGAATATAATCGACTAATACGAACATTTCTACCGCAAGCACAAACGATTCCTATTTCGAAAAAACGTTTTCGAAAAGTAAAAGATGTTCCGTGGACATTGTCGAAAATAATCAATGCCGGTCAAGAGTCAGATCAACAAGTTGGAAAAAGTACTGTTGAGCCGATACCTGTTTTGCAAAATGAAGATGGAGTTTCATGCTACGCAAATTCAGTAATCCAATGTTTCTTGCAGTCAAGTATTATTAGGAAAGTGTTGTTTAAAGTTGATAAAGATGATTTAAGTATATTAGCGCATAAATATGACAAACGATTACCTAATTTGAATGCTGATGCGATACGGACAGATTTAGGAGAGCGCTTTACGAGTCGTGGTGATGAAAAACCAGCAAAACGAGACGCTCTTGAATTTTTTATTGCCATTTGCACAAAATATAATTACATAAGAAATTTGGTCGGGCATCAAGTTACTCGTACTACTAAGTGCATTAGCAACTCATGTGGTTATACGACAAAAGATAATATTACTGATAACATAGTTGTTCCAATTTCTATTAATAATTTGAAGAAGAAAAGTTATAATCTTAATAATTTATTGAGGGATACATTTTTAAATTGGGGTCCGTTATATGGAAAAACATGCCAATTTTGTGCAGGAAATCTAGTATTTAGAATTAAATTAACGTTGACGAAAGAAATAGTTATCATTCATTTAATTTTGTTCTCGTCACAGGATAATAAATTAGTGAAAATACCACAGACATTTAATTTAACTGGCATATCAACAACTAAGATATCGATAGCTAAACAGCAGTATAAAGTAATGAATACTATATTTCATCAGGGTACATCTATTGAAGATGGTCATTATACAAGTATGTGTAGAGAAAGGACATTTTGGATTGAATTTGATGATGGAAAAATTATAGAAAATAAACGATGGCCTACAGGTGCTAAAGGTATTTATATATTATTTTTGGAAAAAGTTGGTAAGAAATAATTTATACAAGCAACGTAATATACATGCATATTTTACATAAAAGCAATGTCCGGCAATGTGTATATATATATATATATATTTACAACTTCAGACACATTTCTTCATAAGGTGTAATTTTTTTCTGTTAAGATTAAGATGCGTAACACTACAAAAAAGCGTGATATCCGTACAAAGTTACCTTTTTTAAAAAAAAGGTAAAGAAAGGCGCCAAGTACACGCCACATAGTAGTGTATATGTTGTTACCTCGAAAAAAAACAGTGGTAGTATTATACCTTAAAAAAATCTAAGTAACAAGTGGTAGACGAAATCTTTGTATCTTGAAAAATCTCGAAAAAACCTAAACAGTAGTATCTTCACCTCGAAAAAAAACAAAGTAGTAGTATTATACCTCGAAAAAACCTAAGTAACAAGTGGTGGACGTAATCTTTGTATCTCCAAAAATCTCGAAAAAACCTAAGCAGTATTATTTTTATTTCCAAAAAA